TTTCAGACCATGCGAGAAGATTGTACATCGGCCTCAGGACTCGCTATTCAGCAGTAGCTCAGGCTGGACCAACTACAGAGGCTTCTTCAACCTAGCCATGCTGCTTCTAGTGAGTTCTTGAAAGCTTTCTTGAGGCAACTTCTGTGCTTCTTCAAATTCATTCCAGATAATCAATTTAGGTGGTTTCGAATGGACGCGTAGCTTTAGAAAATCTTATTAAGTATGGTATTCTAATCTCCCCGTTGCAATGGCTTTCATTTATGATGGTCGATGCTTCATTCAAAAATTTCCCTAATCTACTGCTGGTACTGTTCTCCAACGCAACAATTCTTATTGTTTTTGTCACGGAAAAAATTCTTGGTGAGTTTTTTGAGCAGTTTTTGGTCTTATGTTTGGTTTGACGTATTTGTTGTTTGCGCACCTAAGCAAAAAGGTTGATTGTTGGTCTGACGCTTTACGAAAACCGAAATGTAATTTATTACTTTGATAGCGGGAGAAGCAATTTTTCATCAGACGATTTGATGACTATATGAGTGCTGTAAATGGGTGAAACAAAATAATCTTCACAGTGGGGCTTAGTAACGCGGTGATCATCAAAAAGAATTATTAACTTCTTGTCTATTTTATCACGTGGCTTACCAACAAAATGGTAGGATAATACTCAGGTTGTTCCTAAATGATCTACTCATTTACTCTGTGGAACGTTTTGTTTAAAGTCTTTTCTAAAATTTTGGAGTGTTGCCTGAGGTTTAATTTACTCAGATATCCAGTAAAATTCAAGCTTTGGTTACTGTATAGTCATAATCTCAATAATGCATTGACCTGCTTACCTACCGATTCATGAAGAAACTCATCTAGGTACAAATAATGCTATCGCTTTTTGGAAGCAGGTGGAATGAAATAACTCCAAACGCACCAAAATAGCGCTTCCTTTGTAGCGTAAACCTATGTTCAAGGCGATTACCACATGCTCCAGCGTTTGAATGCACAAAACCAACATCTCGTAACATAACCATGTATTCTTTTGTCAACAAAATAATCATAAAGTACCGGTTTGCGAAGCACAGCTCTACTTTGAATTGGTACAGTAGGAAAATACACGGTGTAAAGGTATCAAACCTTGCGCATCAGAGAAGAGATATGGAAGCCGAGCAAGTCCATTGGAAGGAGCTATGATTGATTAAAGATATTTGATTCCTTGAGAATCTGTATATACACTAAGGGACCGTAATAAGTCGCCGTGCCATTCCAAAGTATGAGTGTAATTTGGAAACTACCTTTTGAGTCTCATCGAGCTTGATTTTCCCTGCATCTTGCAGAAGCAAATACTGTTTCGTCGAAAGAAACTCAATTGTAAAATTCTAGTGCAAACCTTTAATACCTGCACCATATTATTTGGAGCAGTCGGAACATCCTAAAACATATCTGTTACTTAGTAGTACTGGAAGAATCATGCTAAGTCCTATCGCCCCTTATTTTTAGAAAAAGGATATCTGAGCAATTATTTTGCTGCGATCTTTTATCCGATAGTTGTTTCTATCCATCTGGCCTATCCTGCAGCTGTTACTTTAATTTTAAAGGTATGTTCTAGGTTCTTTTGTTATCATTTTCATTATTTTTTGGCTTTGTAAATGCCTCTTACGTGGTTTATACATCTTAACACAAATATTGTCATTATGCAGTCAAGTGTTTGTCATTCGTGTCACAGTAAATTTTATATGGGTCGCCTTCCAAAATTTGATCAATCTTTCTTTTT